TCTCGTCCCCGAGTTGTCTCTAAAAAGTTGAAAGCCTAAGTTTGTCTTGTGTGACGCGGCCGGGAGGGCCCTCGCTCGCGTGGGGGCCGATGCGCTCGATAGCGTATCATCGCCCCCATCCTACTTCTCTTCGACTCCCTTCTCAGTCCTGTCTGGATTCCCAGAACTCTGAATACAACAACTGAGTCTATATCTAAAATGGAAGACAACACAGATTAGGGTTTAGCAGCCCACATAAAGGTCAAAATCTTCTCTCACATAGGTATACCAGCAATTGACCTTTTCGCATCTGACTATCACCACGTTTGTCCAACCTTTGTCCTCAGAAATTGATCAACAAAAGCTTCCAAAATAGACGCTCTCTCATTAGACAGAAACTTGCTACCGTCCCTTCCCCATCGCTGGATCTTCCCACCTACAACACTACTACATCACACTCTCCAGGGCGCTCGCCAGCCCAGCCTCCTACCTTCTTATATTACCTTCATCGCAACGCACAATCTGGTACCCACACACTCTCTCACTCAACATTATCCGAGGCTTCACCATCCCCGAATCCACTTTCTCCTGCCTTCCCAGCCCCAGGGTCCACTTCACCACCCTCAACCTTGCAATCCTTAGCCTCACAACAATTTTTCTTCTCCATCTAAAGCCCCCTCACTTCTCATTTCCCACCCACGACGAATCCCGTATCCGTATCTCATAAACGTCCCCACACTGCTCCACGTTCATTGCCGCATCATCTCACCCAAACTCCAACCCTCCTCTATTCCTGCCTGAACTCCCCCAATCCGAAAGCCGTATCCACTCTCGCCCTCATAAACTCCAGCCTCCTCAAACCATTTCTCTATACGCTTGTTAAAACCTCCACCACTTACCGGACCATCACCACGCATCGGTCGAAACAAGTAACCTTTCTTTATATCTTACCCCAACCGATCATAACTGCTCAACAATTCCGGAAGTCATCCCAAAAAGGTTTCCTCTTCCCCTTTTGCATCCCGTAACCTTATCATAAATCTTCCACCATGACAATCAATTTTTGTGTAACCTGGACGCACGACCTGCTGTTCAATATCAATTTCCTTATATTGCAATCTCAACCCCTCACCACAACGCTGCCAACTCTCCCATAAGTACAAGAACGCCCCTTCATCCCGATAAGCCTGAGCTTTCGCATATCCCTTCAGTATTCTCACCTTCATCCTAATATGCTCCAACGCCCTCTTAAATTTCTTTCACCCAACCACACCTCTCTGCAACGAATACTCTCGATAAGCTCTGCGGAAAGCTCGCACTCTGCTACTCTAGCAAGGATCTCCTTCACCATCTCTTTCCATCAGTAGAAAGCAAGCACTTACAGTAGATGGAAAAACAAGTGGAAGACCTTCAACATCGGAAGTTTGGCACCGACTTTCCACCTCTGTGACGCCCAACCTCACGCCTAGCTCGACTTCCTGATCGGAGTGGGATGTGGGCTTGGAAGTGCCAAAAGGGGTGTGCCAAGGATTTTTGGGGAAAGTGGAGTCCCAGGTCAGAACTGAGATCTCCTGTGACAGGGTCTTTCGGGGGCACGAGTGCAATTTGGCGGAGAGGGCGTCTTCGGGTTACAAGGCAGATGGTATGCGCGGTTCGCTCAAGACCGAGCGAGCCATTGGTTTCGGGGACGGCGGTTCGGGGACGGGTCCCTTCGGGGTAGGTGGGGTTCTGATGAGTCCGTTTGTCGGGAGTTGCCACGTGTCGCTGGTCGTTGTGCGTTCGGGTTAGGCCTCCGGAACTCCGGGGTTCTCTGATCGCCGCGTCGTCGGCAGTTCCCGCAGGGTGTGCTGGGCCAGTAGGGGGCTATAGCCGGCCACGGGACGACGCCGAGTTGGTGGTACGGAAGAAGAAGGCGAAAGGGAGGGAAATTGGTGGTAATAACGACAAATCTGGGGTGGATGAAGTAATAGGTATGGTCCGGAGAAGGGAAATCAGAGCACCGGGGGTCGCTAGTGGTGGTGCAGTGGAATTCCCGAGGACAAAGTCAGTTCTCGGTTAGGCAGGGGTATCTCTATCGAAGGAGTTCGTTTATCCAAGGGGTGAAGTAATCCGGGTCGTATGATGAGTCGGAATTCCAGGATTGCATCATTGTGTCATGGCGGTATTATGAGTTGCCTAAGGGCGGGTCCGTGGCGATCGTGGTCGCCGCGTGCGAGCACGTACAGGCCACGCGGATGGCGTCGGACTTACGCGTGCTCGTGCGGGACGACTGCGCCGCTGCGGATTCCGGGACGACCGTTCCCACTCGGATAGGGCATCTGCGATTGATGGTCCTGGCGAGTTGACGCCGGGGGGTACGTGTAAGTGCGCAACTCAGATCTCGTTTTACACGTGTCCTCGCGCGGCGCTCGCCAAGCCCGGCATCCGATCATCTAATCACTCCGTGATGTTATGAGCATGCAAGATGCAACGACCAAAAACAGCTCGATCAAAAGGGCAAGCAAAGACAAGGACAAAAGTATCGATTGCGCAAAATTCCTATTCTACACACGAGCGCATCGAAGGCGACAACAAAAGCAAGGACAAGGATTCCCTGTAAAAAGATAAACAAGCAAGCATAGCATCCATACATTCATACAATCAGCAATCATACACACAGTGCATCCGAAGTGGAAATCGCAAGGATAAGTGCGGGCAAAAACCCAAGCCCAAGTTCTGATAAACAAAAATTGGGCAATCGCCCAGAGCCGAAATCAAAACTTATATACACGAGATTGGAGGGAGAAAAGATAAAAGAAACAACAACTCCACGTCCATCAACCCTCAACTCTCTCTTCATCTCTCTTCTTCTCCAATGCGGACAGTCCGTCGTCGCGCACCAACCCAGTAAGTCGTCACCCCGCTTAGTCCTCCCGCACCCGTCGGGTTCGCCCGCGCCCACAGTCCGTCGTGGCCCTCGTCAACCCCGCGCGTTTGGCACCAGTTCGTCGGGTCGCCCGACTCCTGTTCTACTCACCTCTTACTTCGCTCGTGTGCCGACCCTTCCTGATCCCGCAACCCCGAGCTTCCAACCGCTGGTTAAGAGAGTTAACTAATCGCGCAACCGAAATTTATAGCGTGCATGCATGCGCGAAGAACACGAAATTACAAGGACTTAGAAGAAGGGAAGAGGGAGGGATTGCCTACATCTGCATGGTCTGATTGTGGCGTGGGGGACGTAGCCGCTCTCCACGCATCGATCCGATCATGCAGACCGCGGCTACCAAAAACACAGCAAAAGAAAGAG